ATAGCCACCCAAAGTTTAATTAGATGGAGCAGCTCGTATTTTGAGAGTTCTACAATTTTATTTATATAAAAATCGGCATAAAAGTTTTGTCAGCACATACTTTTGCGAAAATTCACTGGTATTTGCCTAGTTTCTGGCTTTATGAAGCAAACAAATTACTGTTTTAATCTAAGATAAGCGTTTTTTCGTGTATGACCAACTCTGACTATTTTTTTTTCAATCTTGCGGTATTTAGCTTTGTACAAAATTTTTCTCGCTTAAGTTGTCTATCTCCATTGAAAATTCATTACGTAAAGGATCTCCAATACCACCGTTACGATTACCTTGACATTTCAAGTGAACATTATTTACTGTCTAATTACGGTAAAGTAATGTGTATCCAACTTTCAAAAAAATTAATAACAATGTTTTACAAGTTTGTTAGGCAAGCCTTACTGCATGTACATACATGTAGGATGTTTGGAATGTCACGAACACTCTTAAAGGTAATTATCCAGGCTTACAAGTACGAAAAAAATAATAAAACAAAATTTTTCGATGTAGATAACAAGACAATATTTTAAAAAAGTAAACTTAGCAACTCTTGTACTTTTAATTGCATTAAGTAAACCTTGTTTCCAAATGGAATTTTATCAATTTTTTATAACAATGAAACATTCATAACTTTGCTTATGATAACGGACATAGTAATTAAACATTACCATGGGGAAAAGAAATATGCACTAAACGTTTCATTGCTAGTTATTGTGATCATTGAAGCATTATTTTGTTGTTAAATATTGAAGAACTTTAATATTACATATCTTCGCTAAAATGAGGAAAGGATTTTTTTCAGTATTTTTCTCGTACTTAACGACATGCCTCGATAATGTACTCTTAGGGGTGTTCGCGCCATTCCGGACATCCTGTATGAACACTCTATGGGTATTTTTAAGTTTATGGAGCGGAATTACTTTCAAATAGCTAAATCTGTTTGTAAAAAAAATATATGTATCACAAAAACTATGTAGTGGCTTTGTTTAACACTTTGATAAGGTTCTAATATTGATTTAAAAATTAAAACATCAACTATAGTTTATTGTACATTTCATTCCTTTTACAAAGATGTTTAAAATAAAAAATAATAATTAAAAACTAAAATAGGAAATATATCCTGAGAAGCGAAATTCTTGGTACTATTACTATGGCTTTATTTTTGAATATTGTTATTCATGATTTGTTAAAAAAATAAACAAATATATTTATACAGAATTTCTTTCAGGCCGAAAGCACAATGAAAGAAGTCAATATAAAACTGATTTTGCAAATTTTCTTTTAATAATAACCTCTGTATGTTAAAATGTTGTTTCAATTTTGAGACATCAAGATGTGGATGTATCAATATGTAGATGTACATATAACACATATTTTAGACAGTTAAATAATATAGTGTCATATAATTGTAATTTTTTTTCCAAAAATCTGAAGGTAAAAAAAACGGCGGGTTAATAAACCACAAGAATTTACTCAGCAAAATTTTGAGTTGACGCTGGTAAATGGGTAGTGGGGATGAAGAAACCAATTCTGGTTAGCGTAACCACTTACACAATATCCCTAAAATACAACAAAGTGCACAACAGACGATGCAGGTAGTAGTTTTGAATACTACTTGTGACTAATTAAATTTCTAACAGACAGACAGACTCATGGAAAAGGCAGATTGATATTTTCGTTTGTACATAAAAAGTGCAAAAAACATTGTAAAATTGTACACTTATTAGTTTTTTAAACGTGCTTTTTTAATTTTGCTTTTACCAGTTCGCTTATGGTTTAAGAAGTGAATGTCTGGATTAAATTAAGGATTGTAATTTGATTATTTATATTATAATTTTTGTAGGAACCAAAGACTCCGTGAAAACTGAAACATGCACACAAAAATGATAAATCTGCCAAAAATTTATTTTTTTTTATCAAAATGGACGAGTTACGTTTTAATTAAAAACAAAAAAAAAGTCAGATGTGTTCGAAAATGCCGAGTAGTGCACAAAAAAAGGTAGAAAATTACCTTAAAAAAATACAATACAATAGTTTTGAAAGGAACGTATTATTTTTTGTGCGAGAGGTACTACGATTTTAGTACTATTCAATAGGATTGTCTGCAAAAGTTTTTCGAAGTTCAGTTTTCTTCTTAATTGTTTCCTTATTTTTCTAAGCCATAAATTCCATTATTATTAATGATATTACAACAATGAACTGGGAACTTTCATTTCTACGCTCAAGCGTGCCATTCAGTTTCACCATTGTTGTTGATATATTTATCATAAAGTTGAATGAAATTTTTAGCACCAGTTTCAGTGAAAATTACATCAATTATTAAAAAATTAATTTATTTTAACTTTTTCATAGCAAGTTATGGTACTATGGAATATTGTTTGACGTAAAATAAATAGAAAACTGTTTTGGTACCTCTATGCGAGACGAAAATTCATAGTTTTAAAATGAAGCAAGGTGCAAAATTAACTTGAAGCTATATTACTTAATAGAGACATACAGTGAATGGTTCACAAAGTCGTAAATTAGATAAGTTTTGGGAATTCTGAAAACACAGACTTTCAAAAAAAGGACGCATCCTTCTGTCGTCAACTGTAGAATGCAAAGGAAGACATTAAAATTAATATCAAGCAGGACAAATTAATATTTGCCTTTACTACAAGTTTTATGCAGTATTCAAAATATGTATAGCACTTCTCTTTGAAAATTAATAACTATATCACCTCGATTTGCCTTGTAATTATTACCTGACATTTGCAATAGTAGTATTAATTTATTATTTGCCTTACAGGCTTAATAATATTCCCAGTAGGGGTACAAATTAACTTAATCTATCTCATATAAATCCATAACAATAAAATAAATAAAATAAAATAAAAATTCGAGTGTTATATAATAAATATTCTATTCTTTCTGCTTGCCCACCCCTTACCATAGTTCCCTTATCTTCCATACTTCTTTCATCCAGTCCAGTCCTCTTCCATCCTCCTTTAGCACTTCTTCCCTACTTTCCTCCGATTCTCTCAATCCTTCACATCCTTCCAGCATATGCTCTATTGTTTCTCCCTCTCTCCAACATATCCTACACCTTCTGTCAGTTTCATCCATCCAAAAATTATTCTCTTTCTCTTCATTTCCACACCTAAATCTCGCCATCATTCTTTTCTCCTTTATACTTTCTCTCTGTGTGTACTTTGGTACTTCATCCTTTACTATTTTTCTATAGTCTGCATTATATCTAGACTCCGATATTCTCGATCTACGTTCTTGCTTATCTATATCCTTATCTCTTACACTCAGCTCTTCTTTCATACTCCTTCCCATTTCTCTCATTCTCTCTATTTCTTCACATGCATATCCCTTTCCTTCATAATACTTGTCCCTTTCGTTCCAAACATGTTTTCCCCCTTCCTTTCTTATTTCTTTCCAACATTCTTGCAATATCTTGCAATCACCTCTCTCACTGAACTTCTCTTCAAATCCAACCGCCCTTTTACCCGCTTCCACTCTCATTTTCTCCCTTTTTGTTTCTTCTCTCACTATATACCCCGGCGTATACTTTTCCAATCCCAATGTCCATTTCAAGTATTTTTCTTGCACTCTCTCTATTTCTTCATATTCCCTCCATCCCCAAATCTCAGCTCCGTACATGAATACACTTTTGACCAAACTATCAAACATCATTATTCTTCTCTTATAATCATGTCCAAATTTTCTCTCTCCTATTCCCCATACTATTCCCACCACTTTGTTCGCTTTTTGGACCATTTCTTGAATATGCGCTCTATCTGAGTTATTGCTCTTTAATGTATATCCTAAGTACTGGAATTCTTTCACCTGTTCAATCTTCTTCCCTCTCCATGCCCACTCTTCCTTCTCCTTTCTTACTTTCTTCCCAAACACCAGCATTTTTGTTTTTTCCACATTCACTTCCAATTCCTTTTTTTTTACATACTTCTCCAAACTTTTAATCATTGCTTTCATTTCTTCTCTTTTCTTTGCCACAATCACCAAATCATCTGCGTACGCCAACGACCACACTTTCTCTTTGCCGACTACCACCCCTCCTGTCTGTGCTTTTCTGAACATTTCATCTATATCTCCTAGATAAGCTGCAAACAATGCGGGGCCGAGTGGGCATCCTTGTCTCACTCCTCTATTTGTATAAAAACTCTCACTCTCTATTCCATTCACTCTCACCGTATTTACTGTCTCTTCATATATTTCTTCCATTTTCGTTACCAAGTATGCATCTACTCCCTTTCTCCTCAAATACTCCCACATTTTCTCTCTATTCACGCTATCAAACGCTGCTTTGAAATCTATGAACAATGCGTACATTCGTCCACCTTCTTTCCTTATTTCTCTTCCCACTAAATGCCGCAGGATGTACACATTGTCCATAGTACCTCTTCCTTTCCTAAACCCTGCCTGACCTGACCTGACCTGACCTGACCTGACCTGACATTTGCAATAAAAGAAGGAAAATAAAATTAAACTCAACGTACACCGCTCAACAATTTATTATTAATATTATTAATCGCAGTGTTACAATCAATAAACGCGAACATGAATCCTTTGTTTGTGCGACAAAATTATGAATCTGTTTTATAAATACTGTAAAACATATGCACCACTGACAATTGGTCCCATTTATGATAAAATATCGAAAAGGTGTAGTTTTTCTCAAAATTTTGATTTTTATAATTAATATTTAGCGCTCATAATAACAACAGATTTTAAAATAAATAAATAATTATATTCCCTAACAAGCGTTAAAATACTAATACAAATACAAAAATACAAAAGTAATACAACAGGCTTGTATTACTTTAATAATTGTAATCATAATTATGACCGAGCTACCTCTTAATTTTTGTAATACAAAAATAATAACTTCAGTTTTGCCTTCGTTTATGGTATTTATTGAATAATGCGTTGTAATTATAATAAGAGATATTCAATTTTAGGATAAAACAACATTCCGATGGCACGTAAACTTAATTTACTTAAGTTTATTGCTGACGTCAGTTTCGAGTGTGGAAGAAAATCAGCCTGCGATATTTCTGACTCCCCGTAATTTTAACCCTCATCCCTATGAAACTAGTTATGACCTCGGGGAGCGCACGGATGTGAATAGGGTAGGCCCTGTGGTGTTTCCTTCAGCACCCCCAGAAGATGATGCACTTAATAACAATGTTGTAACCCTTGCACAAGAGCGACAAATTAATCATCCGATAGATAATCATCCATATGCAAGAGTCGCCAGAAAACGAAAGTATAATTTTCCCAGTAGATTTCAGCCAGATGAGGTAAGTCATAAACGGTGGTAGTGTGAGAATAATCTAGAACTTTGGTATTGGTATTTATTACTAAAGAAAAATATTTATCTAGAACTTTTTATTAATCTTAAGAAACTTGATCTAGGGTAGAATTTGTAGGGTTTAAAAGATACTTTTTACGCCCACTTAAAAGATGATGACATTACAATGTTACCTAAAATAATAATATTTATGTTTTTGTTGCTTTTCTAAAAATCTTTATTTGGGGAGGAATATGTCTTTAACTTTATTGAATTTTCTTAAATTGCAACTTTTTTATTTAAAAAAAAAGATAAAACAATATTGAATTGCTGTCAAAGAATATTTTTCAATAAAGATTTGTGTAGGAAAGTATAAACATCAAAGACGTGGTATGTGCACAGCGAATTTTCCTATCACCTATTTCATACTCGTATACCGTTAGCAGGTTGTTATTACAGCAGTTATAGAGCAGCTTTGATCGTAAAACAATAGCATAATAAAACTAAAATGAAAACATAAATTTTAATCGATGTTCTGTGATGATTAAATCAATGCTAGTATTTTATAAAAATTTCAGATAACTTCGTTTCCCAGCTTGTACGAAAAACAGTAATATTTTATTGTACAAATTTTATTTTTTACATTAAACCATATGTTTAAGGTTCCAATTTTGAATATACTATTAGACCATGAAAGAAGGAGTATGTCGTAATATTAATGCCGAGTAAGCCAAATCTACTTAGCAGATTTTCTGGTAACGTCATCAAATTTTTGGTGGGGATGTAAACACATTTTTGCTATTATTTTACTATCTACATAATAATAATTATCTTAACTAAAATAAATTAATTTTACCTATTTATCTTTCAGTAGCGTCTAAAAAGGTTGGATAAGGGTTAATTTTCCCCTTATAATTTTGATAACACAAAATAAGTTTTTCAGACTTCTCAGACTTCGCGAAGATCTGTCAATTTTGTTGTACGTCCTTTCAATAACACCCTGTATATAATGTTTTAGTTATTTTTAAAAAATCTGATAAAACTTGTAGAATAAAATATATATTGTATAAAGTTAGTGAAAAAAAATCGTCTTCGGGACAGAAAACGTCATGACATTTGAATGTTTGTATTACGAGAAAGTTGTGGTTAAAATTATATCCACATTCATTGTTAATCAACTTGAAAAATATGTGTATGCTACTATAGAATGAAATTTTACCAATTACTCTGATTTAACCTGCTAGGAACTAAAATATTCTAACCAGTATAATTTGATTGTCCAAGAAACTTAGGAACAGTGAGACACGTTCCTAGCGGAATTACTTACTTGTTGCATTTTTATAACTATTGATTATTTTGAATAAAAAAATATCTCTAACTATTCTATTTACCATTATATTTTCATTTGAGTCAGACAAAGGTAAACTTAATATGTTCCTAAGATTTCATATCCGGTTGCTTTTAACCGTGGTACCTGCTCAATTAATTATAGGTTATAGTGTGGATGAAGTGTGCATTTTTTGGAGGAGTTAACAAATTTAGTGGCATGTCATTTAAACCGCAGTATTAGGATCCAGAAAAAGTTATGCTTATAGTGTTTTAAAGCAATAATTTTTGCAGTAGAAAATTTGTACATAATTTTTAGTTCTGAAAATGTTTGCATGATAGTTTGCCATTTTTCAGGTATGTAGTAGCAGAAAACTCGTGTACTTCTGTTTTTAACCAAGTAAAGTTATAAAGGCAATAAAGTCAAACAATTATGTTTAAAATGCCAAAAGTAATTCCACTGGAAATAAAACTTGATAATAATAATGACAATACACATATTTACGGAAAATGATCCTTGTACAGAAAATAAGATAATAGTGTACAATAACTCCTCAAGAATAAAGTGCAATAAAATACAAATACAACAAAAAATTATTTATTAGGGTTCAATTCACTGTTGCTTTAAAGTGCTTTAAGAGGTACATTGAATAAGTCTAGATGATGATACTCATTTATTAGTTCACACTAGTATAAGCGTGACGGCTAGTCGTTACGTCTCACCGAGTGGATTGGCACATGAAGATGAAATTGTTCCAATATACTAGAACAATCAATAAAATTATTGAACGATTTGAGGACAAAGCAAATATTAAGATATTTATGTCTTGTTTCTATGGCAAGTGAACCAAAAAATTCTAAAAGTTTAACATAATCACTTTTTCTGTAGTCTGTGTTAACTTATACGGTAAAGGTTTTTTTTTATAACCGTTCTAGGCGGATTTTATGCTATTTTGATGTCCAAATAACCGACCCGTAGTCGAATACGGACCTAATAAAACTAACAAATAAGTTGGGTATCAAATTCTTTTTTAGGTAATCATTCCACGGCCCAAACATAATGTGCCAGAAACTGCTGTTGCGGATACGAGAGAGTTTGTCAGGTCGAGCGTTAGCGAGGCCGCAAAAAGCGCAAAAATTTCGTTAACTGCTTGTTATATTGAGATATGACTTCATTCATATGATACGACTAACTGAAAGACCTGTGGAGAATCGAGATAAATATCCAAATCATTGGAAACCTCTAAATGCTGTAATTTCTTATCGTTGATGAAGTAATCAAATAGTACGAGTATAAGCGCTTTTTTCATGTTTTCGTTTATTTCAAACCCGTTTTGCACTAAGCAACAAACGCATCTAGGACTTTTGTATTAAGAAACAGTCAGTATTTTTGTTAATAGTACAAAAAAGTTTTAAATTTTAGATAGATAAAGTTTATAAACGTCCAGAATAACATTGTATACAATAACATTGTATACAATAAACAAAAATAACATTATAAAATAATAAATATAATATTCATATTAACTAAAAGTTTCATTTTGTATTTTTAGTCTGAATTCGTCAATAGTGTAGAATGCATTTTTAAGAAGAATTTCTCGGATAATCTTTTTAAAAGATGGATACTGTGGTCAACAGAGTGATATGTTGTTAACGCTACTTTGAGAGACACAGGCTTATAAGAAAAAGCTTAATCTAAGGTAATAAGTGTAAGCTTTTCCTCCCAAATTAAACATATCCTTAAAAAAACAAATGTTTGGTTCTTCAGTTGTTTATGACAAGTCTAGAAATTAAAATGTTTAATAAAAGCAGTATGAAAACAAAAATTTCTGAAAGAAAGACGCGCTGATATGGCGCTGACCCTCAGGAGGAAGATTTTGTAAAATTGTTTCGCCTCTGGTTTGAAAGTGTACAACGGCTTTCTGAGCATTTTCTCCCAGAAACAGGTGGAGGAGCAATTGATAATACAACAAAAATGAAAAGTTTTCTGCGATACGTTTCAGACCCAGGTGTATAATTATTATTTAAGTAGTGTTTTATAGTGAAAAGTTTTAGTAGATTAACTTCCAGGATTTCAGTTCTATGTTTATCGGTTTTCTTCTTTATAGACGCCTTTAAGTTATTAATTTGTTTCAGAGTAGTTATTATTTCGCTATTTTTACCCAAGTTGTCCCTAAGTTCATCCTTTAGTTTTTCAGGCGCTAAGTCTTTTTTTGCCTTTGTTGATGGGATTTGACTTACTCAAAATGACTTCATTGCTTTTCACAAAATTTCTTTCTTCTCGCTGTAATTTATTTCTTCGTCCGACGTGTTACTTGAGCAATGCTTGAGCTAAACATTTTGATAATATTCTACATCTGCACTATACAACAACAAGATTCGAAATGAAATGCTATTTTCTACCCGTATTTGCGATTTCAAACAAAAAAACTCATTGATATGACTTGCCAAGTTTTAATACATTCGGAAATATTTATCCTATAATTAATCTTCCAGAAATTCGTTCTAAACAAAAAAACTTATAAAATTTTAGCTAGTATCCTCTTTTTCACATAACATGGGTGACATTTGGTTGTTTTCATTACACGTATAGTGTACAGTAGAACCTTGATAATCCGAATTAATTGGGACAAAGGTGTGTTCGGATTAACGATTTGTTCGGATCAGCGATTTTCCCAAAAATCTGAAAGGGAATTGAATAACAACTTCATACACAGTCGAAAACAAACTTCAAGAAATAAACCTTAATTTTATTACACAAAATTAAAGAATTCTTAAGCAACAATGATACATTCTAAAAAAATATTACTCCGTGACCATAAGCACGTTATTTTTTTAGAATCAACACGCCGGGATCTATACCCTGAATTTTTTCAGAATTTTTAGATGAATTTATCAAAAATGAAATTTTCCATTATGTATTTATTACCCTCTATTATGCAAATTTCGACCCATTCTAGACGATTTTCGAAATTTAACTAAATACATTTTCTTGTAGATTTTGGGCCTCAGAAGTCACTTCTGGCTTCATTTCTTCGATAACTGAAACCATTTTTCCAAATTCGTCGAGTTGAAATATCGCAGTTTTTAAAGATTTCGAAAAATTCGAATTTCACACCGAATTTTCCGAAAATATTGCTCGGTTACCATTAACATGCTTTATTTTTGCAATCAGCATGCCGGGATATACATATATCCCTGAATTTTTTCAGAATTTTTAGGAAACTTTTTCAAAAATGAAATTTTCCTGATGCAAATTTCGACCCATTTTCGACGATTTTCGAAATTTAACTAAATACTTTTCTTTTGTAGATTTCGGGCCACATTTCTTCGATAACTTCAAGTTTTTTTCCACAATTAGTTAATTAATTCAGTGCACTGAAATATCGCAATTTTAAAAAATTTCAAAATATTCCATACAACATATGCAGAAAGATCTTGCGTCATTTTTGCCAGTAGGTGCGTGTTTCCAAGTTCAGTTCGGATTGCAGAGTTTTTGTTCGAATTAAAGAAGCATCGACTTCAAAAATTCTATTCGGATTAGTGGATGTTCGGATAATCGTGAATTCGGATTATAGAGGTTGTACTATATTTACAAAATGAAATGCGATTTCAAAATTTTGAAATCGGTCAAAATAAAGTACCTCAATGGATGGAACATTGTGGTACTGGTACAGTTGAATT